ATTAATATTGATGATATGGGTAGTACAAGAGTTGATCTACCACGAGATCAGAGAGGCTAAACCCTAGAAGCTAGCCTATGGTATGATTGTTGTTCGTCCTACGGACTAAATCTCTCCGGTTTATATAGACACCGGAGAGGGCCAGGGTTACACAGAGTCGGTTACAATGGGAGGAGATCTTCATATCATATCGCCAAGCTTGCCTTCCACGCCAAGGAAAGTCCTATCCGGACACGGGACGAAGTCTTCAATCTTGTATCTTCATAGTCCGGGAGTCCGACCAAGGGTCATAGTCCGGCCATCCGGACACCCCCTAATCCGGGACTCCCTCAGTTAGGTTTCCGCCGAGCTCATCTCGGACCGACCGAAATGAACCTTTTGGTCCCACCTATTGGCCCTGGCCATTGCACTAAGTACAACTCGGTGTCACCGAAATGTGCTTATCGAGGAGACCGAAAGCAAAACCTTAGTGAAACCCTAGCATCTCGGAGTCACCGAACCGCAACTCGGTCTGACCGATCTTGTGTGTTTAGACGCTGTTAATGCTTTGGTGTCACCGAGATTTTCATATCGGTAGCTCCGAATGCTTTGTGCAGAAAACTAAAACTAAAGTTTTGATTCATTTTTTTTTGCAAAACCAGCTGCTTTTTGTGATGCTCATCCACTCTATCCATATATATCTATTCACAGGGTCTATTTGCAAGATGTCTGATGCAAGTGACAGCCAAAACAAGTCAGATGAAGAGGGTAATCTGGGTGAGGGCACAAGCCCTAACAGTAGTTATGATGATGGTAGCAGGAGTTCACCCAACAATCTGCCTAAAGCTGCCACAAGACAAAGGAAGAAGAGAACCTCAGAAAGTGAGGATGAGGATTTTGTTGCTGATGAGGAAGTAACCTCAAAGAAGAAAGTGCTAAAGAAAGAGTATGGTACTGCTGCTATTAAGCCAGGTCTCAAGAAGAAAGCCCCTGCAAAGAGAGTTCCAATGTCAAAAGTCAGAAAATCTACTCAAGAAACAATGACATTCACTCTTGAACAGTTAGATGATGATGAGGCTACTGTTGGGAAGAATAGAGCTAGGAAGACCATTGCCAGAGTGATTGGCAAACCATCTATGATGGTGGATGATGAAGAAGAGGAGGAAGATGAACCAACTGCACCTCCTGCCATATCTCAGAAGATCATGGCAGATGCCATTAAGACTGGTGCTGCTCCCTCCAAGCCCAAGCCCAAAGCACCGGTTCCTGCACCTAAGCCTGCTGCACCCAAGAGATCAACAAGGAACAACCTAGCTGTTGAAAAGAACAAGGCCCCAGTGCCGGAATTTCAAGAGGATGAAGAGCCACAAGTGCTCAGAAAGTTGAAGCTGAAGATTTCAGATCATGATGATGGACATCCAGTTGCTGAAATATGAAGCTTAAAAAGGACAAAGGTCTGAGAGAGTGGAGGAAAAGTGATCCCTATTCTGCAAGGAGAAGAACGGCTTGTGACTATCGTTTCCATACCAGAGAACAACAAGATTTTTATGAGACAATGCTGCTTGACAAGAAGCCCATCATAAGCAACATGAAATGGGTGGACTGGAAGTATATAGATGCCAATGAAGACTACTCCCCCCATGTTCATGAGACCTTCAGACTTACAGGTGTTGATGCTTTTGTTGGACAAAAGCTCATAAAATGGAATGATGAGATGGTGATGTAGTTTTACTTCACAACACACCTTTATCCAGATGGAAGAAGTGTGGATGACTGAGGGCACAAGATACCAACCATCTATCTCTGAGTGGGCTGCTCTCATTAATGCCCCAAAGGAGGATGAAAATGACATTGATGTCTATGGGAAGCCCAGGATGGATCATAACACTATGGCACATATGTACAAGACCATTCATGATGAGGCTTTTGATACACACAAGTTTGGATCCATATACTATACGCTTGCTGGTTTGGCCACCATAAAATATATTCTGAGACGCACCTTGTTGCCTAAGTCTGGAGATGAGAGGATGATTCGTGGACACTCCATCAACCTGCTCCACTTGTTTGATGTTCCACAAAAGTTCAAAGTCATGAGCCTGATTGTTGAGACAATCAAAAGGACAGCTACTGACCAGAAGAGGTCATGTGGATATGCACCACACATCTAGATGCTTATCAACTCCAAGGTTGGTACAGATACATATCTACTTGACAGAGAGCGCCTTCCTCTTCAGCCAGAGTTTGAAGATAATGAAGTGGTGATGGATGCTTCACATCCAACTTCAGTTGAGGCTCAAGAGAAGGCAGAAGCAGCAAAGGCAGCAAATACACCCAATGCATCAATGGAAGAGTGACTCATGATCCTAATTGATTGTCCATTTGTATTCAAATGCAAATTTTAAATAACGCATAAATTTAGGGGGAGCTCTTGCTTATCACATACTTCTCAAAGTGACGATGTATTTCATTCATTTTATCATTTATCGAAGCTTTGATCTACATGTTGTCATCAATTACCAAAAAGGGGGAGACTGAAAGTGCAACTAATCCCCGGGTGTTTTGGTAATTCATAACAACATATAGTTCATTGAACTAATATCCATTCAAGATAAATATTTCAGGAAGTTTAATGAATGGCAGGGCATGGACTAGAGATGTGGACCCTCAAAATGCTAAGGACAAAATATTGGCAAAAGCTCAAGACTCTTCATCTTTATTTTAGTGATCCAAGATCACATTGAGTCCCTAGGAAATCCAATACTATTAAAAGGGGATGAGGTGTTGCTTAATTACTTGCTTGCTCAAATGCTTAGTGATATTGCTCCAAAACGCCAGCCACTTTCTCCATCCAAATATGTCCCAAACCTAAACTCCAACTCGGCCCCACCGATTCTTTCTATCCGGAGCCACCAATTTCATATAACATAGCCACTGCCAGAAACCCTAGCAATTCGGTCTCAGTGATACAGATCTCGGTTTCACCGAGATGGCATTGCCAACACTCTGTGACTTGTTGCATTTATTTCAGTCTCACCGAGTTATGAAATCCGTCTCACCGAGTTGGCTTGACCAACTCTCTGTTGCCCTATTGCTTCACTTCGGTCTCACCGAGTTGATGCAATCGGTGCCACCGAGATGAGCTTTTCCCTAAGCCCTTGCACATCGGTCCCACCAAGTTATTCCAGTCGGCCCCACCGTGATACCTAACGTTCACATTTTTGAACTAATCGGTGCCATCGAGTTTAATCATTCGGTCCCACTGAGATGAGTCAAATGTGTGTAATGGTTGGATTTTGTGTGGAGGCTATATATACCCCTCCACCCCCTTCTCCATTTGTGAGAGATCCATCAAAGCATGCCTACACTTCCATCATATATTTTTTGAGAGAGAACCACCTACTCATGTGTTGAGATCAAGACATCCCAATCCTACCACAAAAATCTTGTTTTCTAGCCTTCCCTAAGTTGCTTTCCAGTCGAATCATCTTTCCACCATAGCCAAATCTAAGAGAGAGAGAGAGAGAGGGAGATAGTTGAGTGTTGGAGAGACTATCATTTGAAGCACAAGAGCAAGGAGTTTATCATCAACACACCGTCTATTACCTTTTGGAGAGTGGTGTCTCCTAGATTGGTTAGGTGTCGTTTGGGAGCCTCTGACATATTATGGAGTTGAACCAAGAAGTTTGTAAGGGCAAGGAGATCGCCTACTTCGTGAAGATCTACCTTCGGGGCGATGGCCATGATGGGATAGACAAGGTTGCTTCTTCGTGGACCATTTGTGGGTGGAGCCCTCCGTGGACTCACGCAACCGTTATCCTTCATGGATGGAGCCCTCCGTGGACTAGCGCAGCCGTTATCCTTTGTGGGTTGAAGTTTCCATCAACGTGGACGTACGATAGCACCGCATATCGGAACCACGCCAAAAATCTCAGTGTCCACATTGCGTTTACCTTCTCCAAACCCTTCCCTTTACCTTCATACGCAATATTTTACTTTTCGCTGCTATACTCTTAGAATTGCATGTGTAGGTTGATTGCTTGACTTGTGCGAATTGCTAAAATCTGACCACAACTAAAATTGGAAAAAGTGATAAACTTTTATTTGGTCAAGTAGTCTAATAAACCCCCTTTAGACATACTTTCGATCCTACAGCTACGCCCCTTTAAAACTGAAGATATTTGCTTGGCTGGCAACCCAACATCGGATTTGGACCTCGAATCGAAGGGCGCGTCATGGCCTACAAGATCACCCCTCGGCGTGCTTCACTTGCCTTCAGAGCGAAGACAACGCTGAACACATTCTGAGTCAGTGTGTCTAGGCTCGCGAAGTATGGTACGGATGCCTTGATCAACTTCACCTACCGATCCCAGGGACGACAGACACGGACACTATCTTGGACTGGTGGCTTAGGCAAAGAGCTAACTTCCGGTCGATTGACTGAAGGGGTTTTGATAGTCTGGCCATTTGCACGGCATTGGCCCTGTGGAAGCAACACAACGCTAGAGTCTTCAACGGAGCGGAAGAACAAATGGATGCACATGATCTTGCTAGCATGATTCTGGACGAACTTAGAGACCGGAAGATACCCCTTCAAGGCGTAGGAGTACAACGTTTTATGACATACTCCCTTCGTTTCTAAATATTTGTCTTTTTAGAGATTTTAAATGGATTACCACATATGGATGTATATAGACATATTTTAGAGTTCTTATTCACTTATTTTGCTTCGTATGTAGTAGGCTAGATTGAGCATGTGGAGTGGGTGTTCCCACGTTAATATTATCGTGTGGATTCTTGCAAATCTATTTATTCCTTCTGTAAAAATTTGGTACACAATTGCGTACTCTCGAAAAAATGTATAAATTAGAACACACTACTTTTCTTTCCTCTAGGCGTGTCATAGTTAAACTTCACCAGGGATCGAAGTAATGGTGTGACAAAAAGAAAACTTTTGCTGAAACCTGTGTATAGTATTCCATCCCAAGCTAAACTACCATAGTGAGTATCATAGATTTCCACTAACTTTTGCTGTGAGCTGTATCTGTCGTAGTCACAGTGAACTCACTTTGAGTTTCAGAAAACCCTGTATCTGTCCTGTTCCTCCCCAGGTTTACGCCGGGCTCATTTGGCTCCGGCAACGTGGCGTTCTCGCCGGCCAGCATCATGACAACCGAGGACATCATCGGCCTGTTCCTAGGCTGCACGTCGACGCACATGAGAGCAACCTGTATGCACCTCCGCACCTGGCTGTGATCGCAGCTGCTGCCCATCGCATCGTCCAGGAGCTCCGTGCTCCTGCCTTCCTTCCACAACATCCACGCCTGAAAGATGATCAGCATCATCGTACATTAGCAACACAATTAACCAAAGATCTACCACTGGTGGCAGCGAATTAATTAATCACGCTGGCACTAACATAGCCGCAGAGGTTTAGATCGAGCTCGGCGTCGTAGAAGCCTCGGATTTTCTTGCCGGTGACGATCTCCAGCACCATGACGCCGAAGCTGTAGATGTCGGATTTGACGGAGAACACGCCGTCCATGGCGTACTCCGGAGACATGTAACCGCTGATGATCGACCACCACCTCACAAGTCAGCATATAGTAGAGCCCATCTCGAAAACAGTATCCAATGATTTCAGAGATTATGATACTCACTATGTCCCGATGACCTTCAGGGTGTACGCCGTTGTCTGGTCGCCTCCGAACATTCTCGCGATGCCGAAGTCCGATATCTTGGGGACCATGTTCCTGTCCAGCAGCACGTTGCTCGCTTTCATATCCCTGTGGATGATCCTGACCCTCGAATCCTCGTGGAGATAGAGCAGACCCCGCGCGATCCCCAGAATGATCTCAAAGCGCTTGCTCCATCCTAGCAACTTACGCTTTGCATCATCTGCATGGTAATACATTCACTGAGATAAATTAACCGTGTGTTCATTTGATATAGGAAAGTGGTTGCGAGTTTTCTCTTGTGCAACAAATGATGAACTGAACTGACCAAATATGAAGGTATCCAGGCTGTTGTTGTGCATGAACTCGTACACGAGCAGCCTCTCATCGTCGTCGATGCAGCAGCCGAGCAGCCTCACCAGGTTCCTGTGCTGGAGCTTGGCGATTAGCCTCACCTCGTTCTTGAATTCCTCCACACCTTGTGATGATTTCTTGGACAACCTCTTCACAGCTACTTCTTGCCCATCCTCAAGCCTTCCCTGCTCATTATTATATTTCGTGTAAGGACTAAACTAATATAACACGCGGAGAATCACCAGATATCCGAGCTACTTTCAATTTGATCTTACCAAATAGACAGGGCCAAATCCTCCTTCTCCAAGCTTGCTCTCCGCCGCGAAGTTGTCCGTGGCGGCGAGGATCACGGCGAGATCGAACAACGGAAGGTCGAGATCGTCTTCGCCACAGCTCATCTTGTTCTCATCGTCCTCCCTTGCTGGGCTCAAATCAGGGTGTTTTCTGGTCCTGAATGGAAGCACATTGTCTCCACTGCCTGGCGCCTGAAGCTGACGCTTCCTCCTCGCCTTGCATCTCCAGAAACATAAGCAGCCAGCGGCTGCCAGAAGAAGCGCGCCGGAAATAGCCGCGGCGACGGCGATCACCAAGGTGCGTCGGCGCTTACCTGCAGCTGCAATCAGGTAGCTGCATTTAGCTACGGTTATGAAGAATTGCTCGAAGTGGGACAAACAGTGGTCAGTAAAACAACAGGGGAAGTGCTAACCTGAGACGTTCAAGGCATCCACATCTGACTGCGCGAGCCGGATGTACAGGTCCTGCACGACCGCCGGATACTGCCGCATGTTAAGCAGATCGGTGGCCCAAATGACGCACCCGCGGTTGACGCCCCCGCTGATGTTCGCGGCGGAGTAGGCTCTGCAGCTGCAGTTGGCCAGGCACAACTGTCTGCACTCGTCCAGCGTCATGTCGGCGTGCACCGTCGCGTTAGTCGCCTCCGGCAGCTTCATATTGTTCACTGGCCAGAAGCCGTCGCCGTCCCCGCAGCTCAACTTGGTCTTCCTGATGCAGCCGCCGGAGCCGTCCCTGAAGCTCCACTTCCGTGACCGCGGCTGGAACCCCGGCAAGCAGCTACACTCCGGCGAATGCGCGGTGTCGCAGTAGGCGAAACCGAAAGGGCCGCACCTGGCGTAGCTGTCGCACGGGTCGGTCGGGTGGTACCAGAAGTTGTTCCACGCGCCGTCGGCCCACACGTACCGCTGCAGCAGCCCCGTCGAGCCTTCCACGACGAGCCGCGTCAGCAGAGACGGGGAGCTGATGTAGTAGGTGCTGTACGTCTCGTTGGGGTTTGACACGAGCACGAATGTGTACGCCTCGGTCTTGAGCTCCGGCACGCCGGTGAGCACCACGCCGTTCCATGGCCCGGTCGTGAAGATCTTCGCCGGGCCGCGGAAGAGGAAGAACTCAGGCAGTCCGCCGGTGATCAGCTTGACCGTGTACTGCCCCGGGGAGGGGTCGGCGGGGCTGCTCCACGACGTCATGTTCCAGGCGAAGCCACTCCTGTGATCCACCCCGACCTTCATGCCCGGGAGCTGCGTATCCGTCGGGTAGTCGAAGCTCTGCCATGCCACGCTCTGGCTCGATCCACTTCCATCGGAGCTCACGACCAAGTTGCCGCTGTCGAGAAGCTGAGCCGTGGCCTTGGTGGTCACGTCTCCGGTGGGCGCCGAGGAGGACCAAACGGTAGTGTTCTGGCCGTCGACGATGACAAGGCGGCCGTCGGGGGAGAGCTTGAGGACGCCCGGGGATTGGACGACCGGGTTCTGGCGGTTGGCGACCCACACGACGGTCTGTACTGGGATGCGTGCGTACCAAATGCCGATGTAGGTCCTGCCGGCGGGGCTGCCGGGCGGGCTGAAGAAGCCTAACCTGAATGCTCCACGGGCGGACAGCAGCGTCTGGTTGCCGGCGATGGACGCGGTCAGGTCGATGGTGTCGGTGGCGATCGATACAGGGAGGTAGGTGGCCGCGACAAGGAGGAGTAGAGCGACCGAGCGCCTCCTCATCACCTCTCCTATGATCTCTTTGCTTTGGAATCGGCCGCTCAAATACGAGCTGCCGGTGGCCGGCGGCCTGTGGAATATGTTATACTATGTGTGAACGAAAACTGATACTCTGATTGAGTGGCTGCTTGAGTGCTGAAAGAAGTAATGTTGCTTCACTCCTTGCTTATTAGCAGAAAACGTGGGCAGGTCATCCGGAACAGCGTGTTGGCGGACAACCGCCACATGGGTGTTCAAACTACGATATCACGATGCACTTGGACGGGACATGTCAATGATCGTCAGAGTTCAGAGAAGAAAAAAATATGTAGTATATACTTGGATGTGTGGTCAAACTTCGATATCACGGTATCAGATCCTAATATTGCGGTGCACTTGCAGTGCTAGCAGCGGGGTTTTGGCTGCTTGTTTTGAACAGAGACTAGCAATCTGAATGGGACACCCTATGTGCAAGTTGCCTTAAAAAACAGTTTTCTTTCAATCACTGTTGTCCGTTCAATGCACTTGGATTAACATACGGCCTGTGATGCGCCTGGGTTAAAGGAGCATGCCACCACCGTGCATGTACAGTAAGTAGCAGCCTTCTTTCGGCTAAAACGTTGGTAATTATGCACGGATTTCAATAACTTTTTTTTGGCGCTTATAGGCGCCGGCGCGCCGGCCGAAAGTTTCGGCCGGTCGCATCCTGTGCGTCCGCTGCGCTAACTGCCAGCCATCAGATCATGAACGTTTTGTCCCCCACATCTCGCATCCAAACACACACGAGAGAAAAAAGAAAAAAAAAGGACGCGGCCCAGATCACCAAAATCCCTCGCATCCCTGCCCCCACCCTCGCATCTGCTGGAGTCTTGCTCTCCGCCTCGTCGTCGACGGCTTCGTTCCAGCAAAAACGCCGCCGCAGTCCGGCACCATTGATTTCGTCGTTGCAGCAAAATGCTTCACCGACTCCAGCAACTGGATCCGCTGGTTCCAGCAAACAAACACAACACAGGTCGCAAAAAATAGTTGTCGCCGGTCGTAGTAGTTGACAGGCGTGCGACATCGCGATCCACCACCATGAGTTCGCCGGTCCCAGCACCCTTCGACACCGATTCCAGCAAAACAGAGAGGTGGTTCCAGCAAAAAAAACACGGAGAGCAGGATGTCGCCGGTTTGAAACAAAAAAAATATGGTTCCAGCAAAAAATGATATGGTTCCAGCAGAAAAGCAATATGGTTCCAGCAAATGCTAAAAATTGTTTCTAGTAAACAATGTTATGATCCAGCAAAAACTAAACATGGTTTTAACAAATTTTTGATACGGTTCCAGCAAAATTGAAAATGTTTCCAGCAAAATTGAAATATCAATGCAGCAAAAAAATCACGCCGGCCACCGCCGTCCCAGCGCCATCCTAGTTGGTTGTAGCAAAGTCAAATGCTGGTTCCAGCAAAACTTCTATGCAGCAAAAAATCCTGGCGGCCATCACCCTCGCTGCCCAAAACTATCCTTCCCTATTGCAGCAAAATCGAAAGATGGTTCCAGCAAAAATCAAATTGGTTCCAGCAAAAAAACAAAAATATCGATGAACATACCACAATCACCGTCCGCCGCCGCCCACCACCGCCGCCACTGTCCCCGTTGACGCCGCTAGCAGCTCGCCCATGGCGCAAAAGAATCCCCTCCTCCCAAGCAGATGAATCCGTCCATGGATAGTTCGAATCCGTCCATGGCCTCCGCCCAAGCAGATGAATCCGGCCATGGTTGCTTGCAGCAGCTTGCATCTCAAGCAGCCTTGCGGGGGGTAGAACACATGGACGTAGGTGCGGAAGGGGAAAAGAGGATCGAGAGCAGAAAAGTGGGATCTGAGCGGTGGAGAAAAGAAGATAAGAAAGGTGGAAGCGGTTTCTAGATGTATGGAACCCGTGGCGCGTGGCACGCGTGCGTGCGGCCGGCTGAACGCTCAGCCGGCGCACCGGCTCTAAACATTAACCCCCCTTTTTTTTTGATATTTCTTTGGGATACAAGTCCGGGCCGGGTGTTAACTCAATGACGCTCTTACAGAGCCAGACAACACACACCACAATTCAACGCAACAAAACAAGCAGCGGAAGATACATGAAAAAACTATGGAAAGAGCTAACATACACTATATAGCATAAGCTCGGAAGCTTGAGCAAAGATGCCTTCCACCAACGCCATGATCACTTCGAGGGAGAAGTTCTTGCTGCTGGGAGGTATTACCTAGCTATTGAAATCTGTACATCTTCACCAACTTACATTCTTTATGCGGCGAACAAATAGTCTCTCCTACCAAGGAAGGAGGACACAACCATCGCCATGTCGCTCGTCGGGGAGCCAACTGTGTAACTCGCCTTCGAAGGCCGCCGTTCCAAAATCTAATAACCCGAGCCTCCACACCGCCATAGTCTGAGTGGTCTTCGTCCGCCTTAGGGCATGTACGATGATGCACAGTCAGCCATTTGTAACACTAATATCGTAGAATTAACGGCGATCTATTACCATAAAAATCACCGCTTACAAACGTTGTCTTCCCTGTTGTACCAAATCCATCAATTATCGTGGGCTGCATGGATCTCATCTCAATTACCCTGATTTACATTTCGTTTGGAGAATTACAGCTAACCAAAATGTGACCCTACTATGCGTGTTGTTTACTAATGACTCACAAGTATAGAGGATCAATCGTAGTCCTTTTGATAAGTAAGAGTGTCGAACCCAACAAGGAGCAGAAGGAATGACAAGCAGTTTTCAGCAAGGTAATTTCTGCAAGCACTGAAATTGTGGTAACTGGTTGTTTGATAGCAAGATAATTTGTAACAAGTAACGAGTAGCAATAGTAACAATAGGAGCAGCAAGGTAGCCCAATCCTTTTGTAACAAAGGACAGGCCGGAACGGTCTCTTATAATAAGCAAAGTATTCCTGAGGGCACACGGGAATTTAATCTAGTCACTTTCACCATGTTGGTTTGATTTGCGTTCACTACTTTGATAATTTGATATGTGGGTGGTCTGGTGCTTGGCTGCTGTTCTTACTTGAACAAGCCTCCCACTTAAGATTAACCCCTCTCGCAAGCATCCATAAATAGAATAAAAATAAAAATCTAACCATAGCATTAAACATTTGGATCCAAATCAGCCCTTGCGAAATAGCACATAAACTAGGGTTTAAGCTTCTGTCACTCTAGCAACCCATCATCTAGTAACTACTCCATAATGCATTCCCTTAGGCCCAAAGATGATGAAGTGTCATGTAGTCGACGTTCACATGACACCACTAAGGGAATCACAACATACATATCATCAAAATATCAAACAAACATCAAATACTTGCAACATGAATTCTCCCGTGGCCTGAAGAACAAAGGCAACTACTCACATATAATATTCATGCTTAAGATCAGAGGGGTATTAAATAGCATAATGGATCTGAACATATAATCTTCCACCAAATAAACCATCTAGCATCAACTACAAGATGTAATCAACACTACTAGTCACCCACATGTACCAATATGAGGTTTTGATATACAGATTGAACACAAGAGATGAACTAGGGTTTGATATGAGATGGTGATGTTGAATATGTTGTGAAGATTGGCCTCCCAAAGATGATAGGGTTGTTGGTGATGACGATGGCGATGATTTCTCCCTCCCGGAGGGAAGTTTCCCCGGCGGAATCGCTCCGTTAGAGGGCAAAAGTGCTCCTGCCCATGTTCCGCCTCGAGATGGCGGTGCTCCATCCTGAAAGTCCTCCCTCTATTTTTTCTAGGTCAAATGTGAATATATACCAGAAGATGGTCGCCAGAAGTGGGCCAGGTGGCCCACTACCCACCAGGGCGTGCCAGGGGGGTAGGCGCCCTGGTGCCTAGTGGGCACCTGGGTGGCCTCCCCCGGAATCCCTTTTCTCCAGTATTTTTCTATTTATTTCAAAATAATTCTCCGTAAAATTTCAGCCCATTTGGAGACGTGCAGAATAGGTATGTCTGACGTAGCTTTTTCATGTCCAGAATTCTAGCTACCGGTATTCTCCTTTGTGTAAACCTTGCAAATTATGAGAGAAAAGACATTAGAATTACTCCCCAAAGTGTTATAATGCATAAAACACCATAAATAACAGTATGAAAACATGATGCAAAATGAACGTATCAACTCCCCCAACCTTAGATCTCGCTTGTCCTCAAGCGAAAGCCGATATCGAAAATCATGTCCACATGTTTAGAGAGAGAGGTGTCGATAAAAACATAATACAGACATAGAAGCATCATGATCATTATTATAACAACAATAATTGTTATCATATAACTTTCTATGAGAAAGTAACAATTCACTACAATAGCAAAGTATAAAGCATAAACTTTCTTGAAAACTAACAAAGTATGTTCTCAGTCAATAATGCAATTGATATTCATTATATTTTCAGGAAGTGTCACATGTCAGAGATTTTTAGCAAGTCCACATACTCAACCATCATTTAGTATTCTATGATTGCTAACACTCAAAGAACATATATGGAGCAAAAAAATTTCAGCAAGACACATAGAAAGATAGGGAACATATATGGAGCAAAAAAATTTCAGCAAGACACATAGAAAGATAGGGGCTTATAGTTTCGCCTCCCAACTTATTCACCTCAAGGGTGATGTCTGTCGGTGTTCTGGATATGGGGGTATCCAGCCCTGCCTGCCTGCGGCCCACCACGTGGCTCCATCGACGACCTGGTACAGCCCAGCTTCAACATCGACAGCTCAAGACCTTCACGAGGGGCCAAGCCTCGCGAGGCAGACGATGCCAAGACCCCGGAGGGGATCGGCCGCCTCTGGCTGGCTCCCGAGGGATGGAGAGTTCTATGCAAGGTTTACCTCACGAGGCTCAGCTGACGTGAGCCATGACAACTAAGGCCAGGCGGGCGCCAGGCGGGCGCAGAGCGCGGGTTTCCTCTTTGGTGCAAGGGAGGCCAGCCACAGGCGCGGAGTCCCGCGAAATCAGCCAAAGGTTTCCATTCT